TCCCCTCCTCTATCACGGCATCCATCTCCCCCCCGCGCCAAAGATCTGCTTCCTATCCCTCCCTGGATAATGTAATCTACCATCCACCTTCAAATTAGAGATTAAAACGTCTCGAATGTATTTCCTTTGCCGTTCAAGCTGAACCCCGGGCACCCCACCTGCCAGCCAGCGCTTTTGATACCAATATTTGCCTTAATATTTTCCCCCGGTCTATAATTGAACCTATTCTTCTCCCCCAAAGAAGGGAGGGGGAATGATGTAGAAAAAGAACAAAACCAAACAACCCCTGGATCACAAACATCTCCCTTATATTATTTCACTTCCTACTGTATAATTGAACCTCTCTCCCCGCATCCTTGTCTTAAGTTTGTTTTTTAAAATGTCTTGTATTAGATTATACTCGTTTATTCCCCTTTCCAACCTTATCTCTCCTCCTCTCTTCTCTCCTTCCCGTCACACTTGATTTAGGAAGGAGTTTATCTTGCAAACATTTGCCTACTTTGTTTATGTAGACCAGGTTCTGCAGCTACTTGTTCCCAAAAGCCACTGTTTGCCTTTGTAATTGTTATCTGTGTTTATTGTTGTACCTCATTTGTCTCAGCTTTTTTTGTGACATGTAAGCTCCGTGTGTGCTCACATCCAGCCCCCCCTCCTTCTCCCTCTCCCTGCTCTTTTTTTTTCTCCTTTTCCCTCTTCTCTCTCCCTGAAATATGCACAGAATAACTCAGCCTAAAGCCAATGAATTGCTTGACACCTCCCTATCTCTTTCCTGCCCCCCATTATTAGAGCTGATCCCACTCGCAACACTCACAAATCCCGCCTGGTCTCTGTTTGATTAGATTGCCAACCTTTCGTAATCCCTTGATTTGATGAAGTGTCTGTTCCCCCCCCCTTCTAAACATACATTTACAGAGAAAGCGCTTGTTGGTTTTAAATCAATGCAGATTGTTTGCTGATAAATTGACTCCGCATCCCCTCTCCCCCGCTCCAGCCTGGCAAACAAAGCCCCTTTCCAGCTGGGGGGGTCCCCCCTTCTTTCTCCTTTTCCTCCCCGAGCCCAATTAAATTGGGCAGGACCCATCCAAGCCTCTCCCTGCTCTGTCCAGCCCCCCAAAACTCGACAGAAGGGGCACCGAGGGCTCCCCAATTAAATCGTTATCACCTGCACGTGTCCCTGTGCCCCCCCTCCTGTGCAGTTCACACCTGTCCGCCTCTCCCACCCCCAATAAACACCGAGCCCGCTGCTCTCCCGGCTTTCCCACTCGGCTTTCCATCCCACGCGATATTTCCAAGGAGTATCGAAGCGAAAAATCGATCAGTGGAAGAAACTTGGCGCAATAACGCGGAGTTCGGAGATACAAAGCGGGGGGAAACGAACTAAAAATCCGTGTTTTCACCCCAGATGGGCCCCGCCACCCAAGCCCTGAGCATCCTTTGCATCCTGCCCCGCGTCCCGGAGCAGTGCAGGGGGCAGGACCGGCTGTCCCTCCCCCGTGCCCGTGGGGTGACACGCCGGGAGGGTGGGGGGGACCTGCCGAACTTCCCTCTCCTCCCGCGCAGACCCATCGCCTTCCCCGTAACCCCGCGACCCTCCTCCCCCGCGTCTGGTTGCAATTAATACCCCACCAGGACGAGGCCCTTTCCCTGCTCCTCCCAATTAACCCCCGAACAGCACCCCCTGAAATTTGGGGGTGTCCAAATGCTCCCCCCGTCCCCCCCGCGGGAGAGAACAGCGCAGCCCCCACGCGTGACCCTCCCTAATGGATCCCACCAGCCATAATAAATAACAACAAGCCCAAATAATAATAATAACTCGGTCTTAACAAGGATATAAATATATATATATACATATATAAAAAATAAAGTGAAGCCTCATGAATATATGCCCAGGGCTAGCTGGAGTGAGCCGTTTAAAGATGAAAGTGCAAAGAAATAAAGGCTCAATTTAATCTGCCTTAAAACCCTTCAACTTAACGTTTGTGCTGGGAACTCAGAGAGTGAGTACTGATTGGGGATAAATACATTTCTTAGCATGCCTTGGAGCTATTACACCCTTCTCCAACACAGCTCCCTATTCAACAGCCACAGTTTTCATTACCAGCTCTAATAAGTCTTAACATTATTAAATGCCAAGCAGACGATAGAAAGAAACAGGCGCAGGGTGGAAGCTTTCTTTAACACTTAAAAAGAGAGAGCATTTAGGGCTGTCTTCCTCCGGCTCCCTGCGAGGAGAACCGGCAATGAAACGTTTGTCAAGAGGAAAAAGGCCAAAATAAAGTTTCCCCCCCTCTCTCGCCATCCGCGAGAATCAGAAAACCGCGTTAAAAATCAGAAATTAATAAAAATAATAATAAAAAACCTTTACAGCCCCCCCCCCCGCCCCCCCCCCCTCCCCCGCGAAGCTGAGAACAAGTGGCAGCAGCGCGGTGTATTTTTATTTTATTGCGAACCTCCTGGGAAAAAAAATTAAGGTGAAGGGGGAGACAGCTATGATTTTAATTTTATTGTATAAAAATATTACTATTTTCGAGGGATAAAAAAAATATCCAGCGTGCACCCACCGCCTCGGAGTGTTTCACAAGTTGAATCATCAATTATCTTAATTGGGGCCATTAAAGCTTTCCCAGGCGTTAAAATACACATTGACGGCGGTCACTTTTTATTTTTTAAGGATTGTTTTTCAGCCGGTCACGATCGCGCAACGCTCGGATGCGCCGGGTCCAACCCGCACCCGCGGTTGACTCTCCCCCCCTCCCAAAAAAAACCCAAATCAGAGCCTTTGTGGGTGATTTCTCTGCAATCTACAAAGTCAGGGCGCGATTGCGGGGGAGGAAAACAAATTTTAAATTGCCAATAACTCAGGATTTCTCTCCGGGGATGCGAGCGGAGCCTGCGCGCCTGGAGGCGCCGCGGCGCTCCGCGGGCTCCGGCAGCGGGAATTTGCCCAAATTAGCCTTCTTTCAGAAAGAAATGGGGGCTCGTGTTTTATTTGTCCGCGATATTACCCATGAAGGAAGAAGAGAGCGTTTTGTTTTGCTTTTTGACACGCACTTCTGCGTGTTAATCATGAATAAAGACCCTCCAGCTCTTTCACTCATTCTTTTTAATTTTTTTTTAATTATTATTATTTTGGGGGTGGTGATGGGGAAAACGCGCGGACAAGGGAAAAAATAAATCAACCCGCGGTTTGAAAATTATATATATATATATTTTCAAGCGGTGAGGCGCGGTTAAAATAAATTTTAAACCCTAAAATCTTCTTTACCTCCCTTAATAAAATTAAAAACACCCCAAAGTGATAGGGGGGAGCTTTTCGCGGACACAATGGCCCCGATTTGCAAATGAGCATCGCCTCTTTCCAAATCACAAGCAACATTTTGCAACGTCCAACGGTTCTCCCTTTTTCCAACAGACGGTCCTATAATATTACAAAACTATCTAACAGCAGGGAGTTTTGAATAATTTATCTCCCTTTCTTCCCTTCCTTGGCCCTTTGTCCAAACTTTTTCTCCTCCTTGCCGAATTTTGAATGAGAATAGACAAGCCCTCCCTCCCCCATCCCTTTAGTCCATTTTTAAGGCAGCCTCGGGTTTTCCCTCCCTTTCCCCCCCTTTCTTTTTTTTTTTTTTCCCTTTTTCTTTCTTTTTTTTTTTTTTTTTCTTCTACTGTTTGCTTTTGTGGTCAGGAATCTTTTACTTATAAAGCTTCAATAGACTTGAAGGTCTTTGTAAGTGAAGTTCATCTTCAAGGTTGGGGAAAAAAAAAGGATCAGATCCTTAAAAAAAAATAAAACCCTTTTGTGCACCTTCATTTAAAACTCGCAGGAACGTTTGATGGTGACACGGAGAAGCTTTTTCTGCCCCGAATTCCCCCCACGTCAGTATTGCCCCACTCACTCGCATTGTCCCAAAACGGGGAAAACTTTGGAGCCAGTGAGAAACCTGGGGAGTGATTCCCTCCCGCTTCCCACCCCGGGACTGGGGAAAGGCTCCACGGGGAAAATCCCCCTCACTCCGCTCCCTCTCGGCCCGACAATGTCCCGAATCCCCCAAAACTCCAACCGACTGAACCCCGGCAGGCTCAGCCCACCGTCATTTTGCATCAGTTTGGGAGAAAAATGGCAATTCCCAATTTCCCGAAGCACATCCCCAAGACTTCCAGACTTGCTGTTTTCCCCCCCAAAAAGCGCCGAGCTCTGTGACACAAGGAAATCATTTTTTGCCCACACCGATACAGCGGCTCCTCCCTCCCATTACTTCAACGTCCTCGCCTTCATTGATAAATCTCATTTATTCTCCCTAAAAGTGCCACTTTCTCCCCCTTATTTTGGAAGGGGAATCATCACCCCCACTGAGTTTGCCAAAAATCAAATTCCAGCTCCCGCAGTGGCCGGCTCCGGCTGTTCCTCATCCCCAACCCCACATTTAGAGCACAGAAGCTTTGAAAAGTTTAATTTTTCCTCCCACGAGAGAAGAAAACACCGATCACGGGAGGTGATAACAGGGCCCCAGCACCAGCCCAGCCTCAAGCTTTCCATCAGAGCTGCCAGATTTATTTCTGCCGGTCTCCTTTCGGGGTGCAGAGCCCCCGTTCGCTCCCCCCCGGCCCCGGTGGCTCCGCGGCTGCTCTAATTGATATTGATTGGCCAAATCGGTCAACTGTCAGCCCGAGTTTCAGGGGACCACTTAGAGAGCAGCAGAGAAATCTGTTTAACAAATTCATTTAGGAGTCAGAGATGCCTCTCCCCCCTCCCAGCCGCCTCCTCTCCCTCTTTCTGTCTAATTGATCCAGAGCAAACGCCAGTGACTCTTCTCCTGGGAAAGCCCCCGCGGCCCGAGGGCCGGGCACCCCCTGCCCCTGCCAGGGCCCTGCAGCTCTCCGTCTGCTCGCCCAGCGGTCAGTTTGGGAAAGAACAAACCCGTCTTCCTCCTGGCAGGGAGGGATGTTCCCCCTCTCCCAAATGTCCCCTCCGCCCCCCCGGGCAGCGCGGCCGCCTTTACCTTTGTCGCCCAGGATTCCGTCGATGCTGTGCTTGGCCTTCTTCTCCCCGTCCTCCTCCTTCTTGTCGCAGTCCTCCTCTTCCTCTTTCTTCCCGAATTTGATGCGTAGCACCCGGCTAATCGAACTCACTAAACCTCAGACAGTCAAAGACAAGAGGGCAAGTATAAGCTGCCTGGGCAGGCCAGGGGGGAGCCGGCTGGGAAAGCCCGGCCGGGGCTGCAGGACGTGGGCGGGAGGCCTCGCTCACCCCCGAGGGCATCTGCACCCCAGGGGAACGCTCCTGCCCGGACCTCCGTGCCCCCCAAGACCCCCGAGGCCCCCGAGCTGCCCAGGTGGGCTCCCAAAGCTGGGCCGGCTCATCGCCCTCCCCGAGGCCCCCAGCACGAGCAGCTCCCGGTTGTGCCAACGCCCCACGGGGCATCAGAGCCAGTGCTGCATCCCAGGGGGGCACCACAAGAATTGTCACCTGCTCTGGAACAGGGAAAAGACCCCCCAACACCCAGCTTTCCCCCAGCTCCAAATGGGAACCCACGGCCTGGATTCAGACCTGGGGCCTGTCCTGCTTTGGGGTAAATGTGCCCTGCAGAGAAGGCTCAGCCCCCAGAACAGTGGGCACCTCGCAGCTGGGACCCAAAGAACTCCCCACACCCTGAACACACCCCTGCGGGCCAAATCTGGGGGTGCAGGGTCTCTTTCCATGGACAGCTGGAGGCTCTGGCTGCTGGAAATGTTGCTCTGCAGCCCCCACTGAGCAAAGTCCAACGTGATAAGAGGGTTCCCCTTCACCGTGGATTTGGGGGCTGCCTCCCCGAGTGCTCTCGCTGCACCAGCACAGCCCTGCTCCCAGGGCAGCTGGAATAACTTGGGAAAACTGGTTGGTTTGTGTTTGTTTTTGCAGCAGACCACAGAGAGACAAGAGCGCACCCCCCTGCCTGGGATTTATTTGCTGCTGTGGCTTTGCTTGGGGTGATTTCCCCCCCCCCCCTTATCAAAGCAAAGGCCGAGAGGGTGTAAGAGCCCCTGGAAAATATTTTTGGTGGTGATAATGATTTCCCTCCATCTTCCTGCGGGTGTTGGGGTGCCCTTCTTGCCAAGCTGCCTTCTCACCTGAGGGCACAGTGCTCCGGTCGCAGTGCCCGTCCTTCAGGAGCCTGTCCCGGATCTCCCAGCTAAACATCCCGGGGTTTTCCCGTTTGTATTCCTCGATTTTCTTCTCCACGTCGGGAGTCGCGACCTGCTTTTGTGATCAAGGGACACCGGTGCGTGTCCGCGAGTGCAGAGAGAGGGGAGGGGAGAGAAAAGCGCTTTTAATTGAAAAGAAGAGCTGAGCAGCTCAGTTCAGTCCTCCTTGCCCGGGCTGATAGTTTTGGGGCTGAAAATGAGGACTTGGAGAGGGGAAAGGAGGAAAATAAAGCTAAGAAAAGGTCCCGCTCTCCCAAATATTGGCCACCCTAAAAGCAGAATCTCCGGGGGCCCAGGAGATCAGCCAGGGTGCGTTTACCTTGAGCAGGGGAAGGAGGCAGGGAGGAGGTGCAGGGGATGCTTTTTGGAGTGTTTATGCACACATGGTAATGTATTATTGCCCAAAACATCCCGACCCTTCTCCTCCCCTCACACCGGGGCCGAAACAAACGCTTAAACGTGCACCACTTGTTGCACGTGAGGAAAAAAAATCACTTTAATTTATTCACAGCCTTCAACTTGCACCGTTTTCTACCCATCGGAGGCCGAAAAGTGCAGCTTTACTAAAGCCCTTTCCCCTCCTTCTCCCTTCCCCTGAAAAAACACTTGGAAAACTTGGACCCCCGAACACGAAACGTGAATTTCTTTAAGGTGAGGAGGGAGGTTTAGCTCGGCGCCCACATTGCACTCACCCTGGGCTTGCTGCCTCCGATGGCCCCGGGCCGGATGGAGCCCGTCTCCTGGTACCTACAGAGGATTTTGGAGACGCAGCCGTGGGAGACCCGCAGCTGGCGGGAGATGACGCAGGGCCGGATCCCGTGGTGAGCCATCTCCACGATTTTGTGCCGGATATGGTTGGGGAGCGGGCGGCCGTTTATAAAAACCCCTCCGAGCTGGTTCACCCTTCCCTGGCCCAGCGGGGTGGAAACTGCAAAGGAAGGAGGAAAAAACCCCAACCCAACAAAGAGGGGAAAAAAGTTAAAAGAGAGGAAAATACAGCGAAACCGGGCGTGTCCCTCCCCGTGCCTTCAGCTCCTCTCCCGGGATTCGAATCGTTTAAAGAAGGGAGAAGCCCCTCGGCCGTGCCCTGGCCTCGGTTTTATCCCGGCATCACACGCGGGAGACTTTTCCTAGCGATAGTGGGAAAATAAAAATAACCCATGACCCGCACACCACCAGCCGCGACAGCCCCTGCGTTTCTATCCGTTATATTTATATATATTTAGGGTTTCACACCTTTGTTTTAAATAATACCCGACGTTTTAAATAAGAAAAGATTTAAAAGCGCACAACAACTCCCCCTAAACTTCCCATTCCGCCCACCAAAAAGCGCACTCCGATTCTTGCTTCAATTTACGGAGCTCTCTCCTTTCAAACAAACTTTTGGAAATAATCTCTTAAACACCCTCGAGGGGCTTTTTTTTTTGTTGTTGTTGTTGGGCCTTTTTTTTTTCTTTCTGTTGTTTTGGTGGGGGTTCATTCCGCGGTTCGGGGAGGTGCGGAGGGAACGCGGATTCCCCGCGGCCGCGCCGCTTCCCCGACACCTCGCCCGGCGCATCCCCGCCCGGAGCGGGGGGACCGGCGGCTCCTTAATCCCCCTCCCCAATTTATTTAATATCTCGCAATGTAGATCTTGTAGATTAATACGATTTCACAGGCTGGAAATTAAAAAAAAGGGGGGGAGACAAGGAGGGGAAGAAGAACTCAGCTGGGTAATTTGCACAAGGCTGGAGGGGGCGAGGGACAGGGAAGGCGAGGGGGGTGATTTTTCTCTTTATACAAAGAAAAGTCGATTCCAGAAATTGCCTCGCGATTTAACAAGAATCATGCACCACTAATTCCGAGTCACTTGGCCAGCACTCCCTGGATATATCATTATCGGCAGATAACACTCGAGTGGCCAATTTTACATTCAAGAGGTACTAAAACCGCCGGCCGCTCTCTCTTTTCATTATTCCCAGTCATGTTGTGCAAATATTGTTGTAATCCTTTGATCCTTTCCCTTGCCGTCTGTTTTACTTCATTTGCTACAGAAAAGCACTTCACCAAATCCCCCCAGCTTGTATGTTTTGCAGCCTGCGTGGTTTTCCACAGGTTTGAGTTTCGCCACTTGATCACGGTCAGGATGAAATTTTCCTGTTTAATAAATGCGGGGAGAAGGGTCCCGCTCGAAATTCGCCTCTTTTTTTTTTTTTTTTTTTTTGGAATGCGTGTGCCTGGAAATAATAACTCCCCTCTCACAAAGGGAAGGCAGATGATGGGGAAAGATGCGCTGCGAGGTGGGGATGACACTTAGCGAGGTGACAGCTACGAACTCCCCCCCTCCTTTCCCCTCACCAGCCCCGGCCAAGGACACCTCGGCTTCCCGCTGCCGCAGGATCCCCCGGCTAAAGGTTTCTATTCTTATTTTCCCCTGGAAAAGTTGAAAACGAGCGATTCGGTTGTTTCCCCCCATCTTTACGTGGAGCTGAAATTGTCGGGACGTTTGCGGGTTAAAAAACCTCAACCACCTAAATAACCCCAAAGCACGTGAAGCTGCCCCAAAAATCCTGCGGGACGCCTGGGAACACTTTAAATACAGGGAAAGCCAAGGCAAAGGCCGGTAATTCGCGGGGCTGGAGCAGCTCCAGCGGGAGCGGTGAGAAGTTGGATGCTCAGGTCGGGAACCCCCCCGGTGCGAAGTTCAGCCGCATCCCCCCTCCCGAAGCATCCGAGCCCGGCCCGCCCCGGTTATTCCAAGGTGCGGAGGGGTGGAGAGGCGCATTCCCAAACCTACCTTCCAGAGGGAAGCCGGTGCGAGGGTAGTTTTGCCCCGGAGCCGGGCGCATCATCCGCGGCACCGTCCCGGGCAGCGCTGCCATGGCGGGGGGGGGTCGGGGCGGCCGAGAGGGTCCGGTCCGAACTGGGGTGGGGGGGCACCCCTTGGCCCCGGGAGAGCCGAGAAAGCCTGGGAGGGGCTGCGGGGCTGCCTCTCCTCGCAACCGAAGCGCTTCGATCTTTCAGCCCGCGGCTGCAAAACAAGGGAGAAATCTTTGCTCCGAGGGGGGAAAAAAAAATCAGAGCGACAAAAAAGAATAACAAAAAAAAAATCGACAGATGATGATGATAATAATAATAAAAGAGGGGTGGGAAAAGGGGGGGATTCACCCACCAGAAATTCCTCTTAAAGTTTTAGGGCTATGTCACAACCGGCCTGAGCGGGCGCTCCGGAGGAATGTAACCCGGAGTGCCGGGAAGAGCAGACACATCCAAAGTTGCCTCGGTGCTGGGCTGGGCTTAGGGCCGGGGGGGGCGGGGGGAGCCGAGTCCCCCCGCAGTTTGTTATTGCGCTTTTTTTCTTTTCCTGAAGTGGTTGTGCCGCTCGAGGGATGCGGGAGCCGGGGGGGAGTGGGAGGAGGAGAAGCGGGTGTTGGATGGGGAGGGGGGCTGGAAGTTGGTAGCGCGGGGAAGTTGGGGCGGTGGGAAGGACGAGCGGGCTCTGATAGGCTCCGGCTCCTTTCTTTTATCCACGGCCGGGAAGGGGGTTCCGCGCCGGGGCCGAGGGACCAATAAGAGCAGCGGCAGGCAGAGCCCTGGGCTCGCTCCTCGGGTTTTTTTAGGATATTATTATTCATTACTAGGCTTGGCTTCCTTCTGATGGAAAGCTGGGGTCCCCCTCCCCCAGATGGAAAAGATATTGGGGTGAGAAACGACGAGGAAAAGTTTGGGAGAGGTTTTTGTGTGTTTTGCGGCTAAGCTGAGCGTCCCTGCGGGTTTCAGGGAGGGGAATGATCTCGACCCGGACTGGGGAATTGCAGCGTGGATTTAAAAGGAAAAAAAAAAAAGGTTGAGAAATTAAAAACAAAGTCAATTACAATAAATAATAAAGTTAAAATAAAGAAAAATACAGATAAAAATTAAATTAAAATAAAAATTTGTAATAAATAAAAACCAAACCCCAAATAAAATTAAATACTAATTTGGCACTTTCAGGTAGATAGGTAGATAGATAGATAAATAAATAAATAAATAAAATACCCCCTCAGGTGCCCACCCGAGCCCGGCACTCACTGCCTTGCATCCCACTCCCCCAGGAGTGGCTTGGATCCACTTTTCCTCCTCTTCCCATCCCTTTCCGGGGGGTGGCTCGTCCTTCCCGGCTCTCAGCATCCCCCCGAACCCCCCTGTTGTTTGGGGCCGGGTTCGGGAGCAGCCGAGCGACCGCGGTACCTCCCTTCCCCAGCCCAGGTAACTCTCTGCTCCCCTCCCTCATTAACATCACATCTTTAATTACGAGCCGGGCTGGGAGCGGCTCAGCCGGTGCCGTTTTTGGGGGGCTGCAGTTTCGGGGGTGGGTGCGGAGCTCCCCGCGGTTCTCCCGCACCGCCCGCCCGCTGACCCGGGACGGGCTGAACAAATAACTAATGTTTTCCCCCCAAAATAGGAGCGGGGCAAGAATCCTCCTCGCAGCGGGACGTGACGCCAGGGCTCACGAACCCTTTTGTTCGCAGCTGTAAAAGGACTTGCCGTGCAAACCGCTGGAAACTTCTCTTCCCCCTCCCTTAAAAGCCTCCCCGGGAGGGGCGGGAGCAGCCGGCGACACTTCTGGCCCGGCTGGACCCCAAATGCGGTCCCTAAACCTCCTCCCTGTCCCCCCGAGGGCATCGCCGCCCTCAGCCCCCCCTTCTCCTGTCCTGCCTTTTGCTTTGAAATGAAAGCCCTGCCCGGACCCCTCCCCGGTCCGGCCACATCTTCATCGCTCACCCTCTTTCTCTCCCCCCGCTCGAGGCCGCCAAGCTCAGCCTAAACCCGCGCCCGCCTTGGTTTGCTCACGTTTTCACGCCTCAAATTTAACCAAATCCACCCTCCCTCCCCCCCCCCCAAAAAAAAACAAAAAACAAAAAAACAAACAAACAACAACCCACGGGACAGGGAGGAAAAATGCGATATTAAAATTCTTTCCAAGGTGTCAAGTTGCTCCCAAAATCTCAGCCCGACTCAGCCCCGACTTTGGGGCTCCAGCAAACGAAAATAAAGTCTCTCTCCTTCCCTCCGCCCCAAAAACACCAATTCCCGAAGTTTTAGGCAAAAAACCACGGGCAGAGCGGAGCGGGACCAGCTCGGAGCCCCTCGCAGCCCCGTCCCCGCCGCATTCCTGCAGCAGTAATTCAATTATTTGCCTTTCATTTGCTTGGATGGGGGGGAAGAGCCTGGGAATAAAGTTGAAAATTAAATGTTTCTGCTCTCCCGGCACCGGGGGAAGATTAAACTCGAGGAGCCGAGCCCGGAGTCCTGCCTTCCCCGCCGCTCTAGGGTTACCTCGCCGGCAGAAAAATCTCTCACATCAAACACGGCATTTGTTTTCCCTCGCTCCCCCCCTTTCTCCTGGAATTGGGGTAAGATTTGGCACTTTCAGGCAAAAAAAAATCACGTTCTCCTCCAACACTTGCTGCCGGCTCCGGGCAGCCACTGAGCAAAGAGCTCCATTAATGATTATTATTTAATGTATTTTCATTGAGGGGATGCGGTGCCGTGTGGCCTCAGCCCCTAAATTTGTGTGGGGAGGGAAAAGGGGAAAGGGGGTGACAGGGGCCTGCCAGGGCCGGGGGAGGAGGGACACTCCTGCTGGAAAGCAATTTCACAAATCATTTTTCTAACAATTAAGGAGTGTGCGGGGGTGAAATGGCGATTTCACGAGCGGGGCCGGGGCCGGGGTGTTACCTGCGCGCCCGGCCGACAACAGGGAACCCCTTCGGGAATTTTGGGAAATTTTTCAATATTTCCCCCTTTTTCTGCCCAGTTCTCTGCTTCATTGCCCACGTTCACAAAAGAGAGACCCCTTCTTTTCTCTCCTGGGAGCAGCGAGCAATAGATTAAAACAAGCATCAATCAGGAAAGGAGCAAGTAACTGCTTAAAGGAGCAGGGGCAGAATTCCTGCCGCTTCCCCCTTTTCCTGAGCATCTCCATGGTTTCCTAAGGTATGTTTCTGGTTGATAAATACCGTATATCGCTATTCCCTTCGGAGAAACGGCTTGTAAATCAGCGCCGAGAGCCAACTCACGAGCAGAAGGGAGCGGGGCTGGGTTTATTTGTATTTTTTAGGAGCATCTCTGGTCCCCACCGTCCATCCCCCGCATCCTTAGCGGGAGGAAGGGGCTTTTCAAGTTGGATGTGCCCTTGGAGGGGGCGAACGCCACCAGACTGGGGGGGAAAGGGGTTGTATATCCCATTTTCGACTTGAAAAAGATGCTCCCAGGTTAACTAAACCTGGCCTGAAAATCGCCGGGGCACGAGCGCAGCGAGTAGCCCTGACTGGCAATTTTATTAATTCGGATTCTCCGCAAAAAAAGTCCTTTTTTTTTTTGGTTTTGTTTTTTTTTGGGGGAGATGCCATCCCATTTCTGGAGCGATGCGGGTCTAGAAATGAGAAATCTCCTTAGGAGATAAATCAGATGTGTCTCATCTGGTCAACTAAAACCTCAAGTGTTTGATCACGATTTTCACCACAAGTAGGATGCGAAAAAAAGAAGAAAAAAAAAACCCAAACTGCCTGGGGATGAATTATTTAATGAAAAGTTGCTACCTTTGCAATTACAAGAAGATTACTAATGTGGGAAGGTTTTCCATTTGAGATCCCGGAGTAATAAGCATTATTTTTTTAAGCGATTATCCAATAAATCTCTCTCTAAAGGGCGATAAATCCACCTTGAAAACCGGGGATTTAAAAAAAATATTTCTGCGGGACTTCCGCATTTTTTAAAATGACCATTGAAAAAAAAAAATCGGGAAAGGAGGAGTAGCACATTCCGCCTGAAGTGTTTGTTTTTACAGAAAACCCAGAAAGGAGAGAAGGAATATTTGCAGCCACGGGAAAAGGTGGTTTAGTTAAAAAGGTGGCTGAGAGCTGGAAAAGCGGCTCCTGGTCAGGGATCAGGGAATTCAAGTCCACAGATCCTCAACATAACCCCAAAATTTAATTTTGCTTATTTACTTTGAAGTCCAGAAGCTGCCAAACGAAGCAGATGAAATGTGGGTGCAGATTTTTGCTGCCTGGTGCCTCTCCAGCCCCTTGGATCATCCCTGTCCTGCCGGTGCAGAAGTGTCCTCCCATGTCCCAGCAGATCCCGAGTGTCCTCCCATGTCCCAGCAGATCCCGAGTGTCCCCAGGTCCCCGAGGTCCTTGGCCAAGGCAGCTCCTCCAGGGGAGCTCCAGGCAAGGAATGACCTGCATTCATCCCTAAGATCCGCTCTCGGTTGCAGGTGGGATGGGAGAAGCCAGGATGGGGAAGGGAAAGGAATTTTAACCTCCAAGGCACGACTCTCAGGCTCATGTTGGTCCCTAATTCTCCTCCTTCCTCAATGGAATAAGGCTCTGCTCGTTCACCAGGGATGTTCTGAACTCTGGTGCTGAAGAAGGACAAAAGTTCTGTACGCTCAGACCACAGAGTTCTGGAAGCCCTAAATCACAGAGGAAACAGTTTCCACTTCCAGGACTATTTATGAAGGAAAAAAATCCCTTTTTCTTTTTTTAATGCTCCTGCAGTCTCAGTCCCAACCCTACGGCTTCCGAAGGAGCTGTGTTACCCACACTGGGAATTCCTGCATCTAACAGGGATTCAGTGCTTTTTTTTTCCCCCCCAGGAAAGGCAAAACCCAAACCAAAGGAAAAAACTCCAACCCCACTTCCCGTCAGGACATGGAACAAAAGGCAGAGTGTCACCGACCCCACCGGGCCTGCTCCCCACTAGGTCAGGCTTAATTTGCCCAGGGTGCAGCATTAATAGGATGTAAGCTGGGCCCTCCAACAATTACCTTATCAAAGCATAACATCTATGGAATGAGCAAAGTATTTTCATTAAACAAATCAAAATAATAAGGCTGGCAGTGGCCTTGTTCATTCTTTGAACCTCTAAGTGGCTTTGGAGATATTCAACAGTACTGCACCAACTTCTATTCCACTGGTAGTCCCTGCTAAGTTTTTCTAAAGAAGATTAACTGCTCCTTGCTAAAAGGCTCAGCTCGACTTTTGTCAGGGTGCACAGACTAATTGGGTTTTCCCTGCATACAACGGGATTCCTGTACTCCTGCTTCCCATTTCATGTGGCTTTTCAGGATAGGGAGAACAAGTTCCCCTTGGTTTGTTCAGTGTTCTGTGTCAGAAATAACACTCTGAAACAGGACCTGACCACGCAGGGAGAACCACCACGCTGAGAGGCACTTTTTTGGGGAGGAAAGGGGAATTTTC